AGTTAATTAAAAACGGTAAGAATTCAACTCTCCAAAAATCAAATTCCATGACAGATTTTTGAGTCAGTGTCAGAACCTAAATTCACCCTGCTTCTACTCTTCATGGCTCTGCCTACTTTTCTGACTACAGTGTGTCAAAGAATACTATTCTGATCAAAATCTGGCATGCAGAACGAGGAGTACAAAATGCAGAGGTTCCCTTTTTTTAATCATCATAAGTTGAAAATATTTCTCTTGGTTACTAGACATCAGTGAACCCAAACTCCTAACCTATGACACTATACTTATACACTACTGACCCACACACTTACTTCTACCCCAGAATAGTTATCACATCAGGCACTTTGGTTGTCAGGGGTTTTATAGAAAAAAACTGCAAGAGGGACAACTGCAATTTAGCGGCACCACCAAGAGGGGGAGATAGAGTTCTCCCTACCAGGGTGTGGAGTTTTTGATAATTCTAAGTTAAAATGGAGCATTCTATGGCTTCCTTGGGGCCAAAATTACTACCAGACAGGTCTCAGTTGAAGACTGTGGCCACATGACTGTCCTCTATGAAATCTTAAGTACATTTATTACAAATCCAATTTTTCTATTATTACTGGTACACGCAAATGTAAGCTACGGTGGTTTGATCAAATCGATTAAATATGAAAAACTTTATAAAACAAATTTATTGACAGGCCTTGATTTGATAGCCATGTTGTATCACATAGGGATTATTCTTCAGAGTCCTGTGCAGTGAGTATTCTTAATACAACCAAGAACATAACTTTTGCGATTGGCTTGACCATAGTTGTTGTCTGTTGCCAAATTTGAACCACAGGGTCTTACGTGTGAACAGATGAAATTATTATCACCGTTCCCAAAGTGAAATTCTGTAAAATTGCGTAACCCCACGTGGTTGCAGAATGACCAATCAGATCACTATACTAGGATGTGGTGTTCCCAATACCCAACGGCGCACTACCATATTCTGACATTTATTACGACATGTACTTGTAACTAGAACAGCGGTGTCCTCGTAACATCCCGAGTTGATTGTGAACACATGAGTACCGGTAATATAAAGCAACGTTGTTGATTTTTGAAATCGTCATATTCAAAAAAACACATTCAGTTAACAGTCCTGATTTTCGTATATATATATCAATGAACGTACATGCGGTTGTCATGCTTTTCTCTCGGATAAGTTGCCAATTCTTGTTCCAGTTTCCGCTTGTCGCGTAGGGTTGTCACTGATCTGATGTGATCGGGTCATTCGCCACTGCAGGAAGTTAATATACCCGTTGCCGTGTTGTAGTAGTCGACTATACCATTAAATAAGAATAATTTATATTTAAAACTCACCGTCTGGATGATTGGTTGTTCCTGCTTCCGCTACTAGGTTTAAGTTTACGTAATAAACGCCAAAATCTGCGCAATGCCAATTCACCCAATACTCTATATTCTCCGTCAGTTGCACTGGGTCAATGGTCAGGGATTCCGACATGCGCACTACGATTGTCTGGGGGTTTTTATCGTGACTACCAGCGGCAGGGAAGTAGTTAAATCTAAAAAGATGAGAAATAATAGTTGGGCATGAACAAGGACTAATTACAGTGAACCTATTTTTAAATATAAATATTTAACTCGATAAATACATCTACTATTTGTCAATTAGATAAATATCGAGATAATATCGAGAATATCACTTGCTTATTTTTTACAACCCCTAAGTACAAAGTAGTCGAAGCCATTCTCCCAACATGACTAAGCAAAGACGCGATGACTAAGCACAATGTAAATGTACGGATACAACCCAGAGAAGTGTTGACCCGGATTCTCAGAATAGAACGCAATTATTTAATTGTAATTTGAGATGAATCTAAAATAGGTAGACTCTTTGATATTAGAGGAGGGTAGAAAATGTAATATAATGGCATATAAAAAACACTGCTATATAAATGCATAATTTTATTTTCATAATATCGATGGGGAATAAAGAACGACGCACTACCCATTTAGGAGACATAGTCAAGTCTGTACGGGAGCCTATATTATATGAAAATACCTGTCCGAGCCTAGTTATTCAAATAATAAACCCCCGCGGCGCCATATTAAATGAGTGAGAAGATGGCAATTCGAATTGATAAAAAATAGTCAAAATTTTGAGGTGATTTTTGATGAATTTGCTTGCGGCCTAGTCTCAAAGTCTCCGTGGTCTCATATACACAAAGATGGCGACTTTGATTGTTGCGCAGATGAACGAGTACACATTGAGACTCTACCAAGCTTTGATTAGGTATTGTGTTAGGTGAATTCAAGGCATGAAGGAGTCGCCGGCGGTAATTAGTGCAAGTCGCGCCAAGGCCACGTGCGCGGCGCGACGACCACCGCCCTTTAATTCTTCAACCATCTAGCTCGGGGAATCAAACCTTTTAAAAAAGGAGTCTTCCGAAACAATGAGGAACCCAAAAAATGACATCAGTGATAACCAATACAATTGACTCACTGACAGATTAAAGTTACACCAGGTTACACATTTGGTGAAACTTCGACATATAAGACCACACAGTCACCAAAACCTAACCTGACATGTAGGCGTGAGTAGCGCCATCGCCGGCCGAACGGCATCAGACCTCTTGTGTTGGGTTTTGAGCACCGCGGAGGGCGCAACTCACACGACCTTGTCAGGCTATACCAAAACCGTACTGGAAAAGATCATGTAAATCTGATCATCTATTTTAATTAATAGCTATTTACCCTTAGCTTGAATTAGTCAATCTCCATAACTGTTCTTACATAAGTTTGACGAGTTTAAAACTACTTGAAAGACATATTATTTTACGTTCTTGAATTCAATTTGTCGCAAATCACAACAGTAAGTTACACATACACTGCCTCGTGAGTACTCAGATAACAGGGATGTGGATGACATAAGAAGTGTCTGGCAACATCACCTGAAATACTGTGACATGCCGTTTTTTTTTTTTTTCAGCCGAAGGCAACTAGTTGCCTGGGCGTGTCGCTACAGTTAGTTGTAATGCCTACACATTGCAGTCGTCGTGTCATATATTACAAGTATATCGGTATGTGCGTTGCCCTTTCAATCGCTTTATGCTCAGAAAACTAATAAACTTTATTACCTAATTAAAGCTTGAAGACGTCTCAGTTCGTACTCGTCGTTCTGCACAACAGTCAAAGTCGCCATCTTTGTTTATATGAGACCCATATATCTCGCACATGCGCAGCGCGACGACTACCGCGCTTTAAGTGTGAATAACCAATTCACTTACATAGTTAGCTTCTGACATGGAAGGTGAAAGAGATATCAACTTATATCAAACCTATACTGTAGCATGAATAAAAAAAACGACAATGCCATATCCAATGGTATCCATTTTTTCTAATTATTGTTTCCATCGTTTCTAAAAAAACAGTATCAATGTGAGGTCACGTCTTTTTTTTTCATAACGGTTTACAAAATACAGGGACACATTCTTACAAAATCAAATTACGACTTCGAATCCAAAATAGAGATAACGGCACTTTTGTGACTCTGTAATTTCACCAAGGTTATGTCTTGTTTCAACACTCACATTTACAATAAATAATTGGAAACGTTGCCATGAAAGAAATACAATAGACATTTTTGTTGAACAGTGTTTTTTGCCGATTTTAGGAAACTGCTTATATTTTATTTATAGGTGTTTGACAAACATGGTAGCTAATCCTCATTTACACCTACTTGAACTTGTTGTATGTATGTTTGACCATATAATGAATAACAATGAGGCAGCACTTACCACGAATGAGTTTGTTATGAAAGGAGAAAAAAAATGGATTTTTTTCATGTGAAGAAAAACATTTTTTGTTTAATGAAATATATATGACAGTACATCGAGCGAATGCCAAAGCGTTTTTTTTTTTATTTGATTTTTCGAACATAAAACAAACAAAAAAAGATCGCAACAGACTATCCGGATACGTTAATAATAACTGTATTACATTAGTATAACATCGGCGGATGTAGTTATGGTAACAACAGCAGTACGACAAAAGAAAAGAATAGACAAAAAATGAGGTACATATTCATCCATTCATATCCCCAGTAAATGTATTCTTTCCTTTCTTCAACGATAGTACATGTACAACAAACTTAGCAAACTTATTCTATTTAATTTAATTTTTATTTTACTTGATTTTTGGAACAATCGATCCTGTAGCCTGGCAAGGTCGCGTGAGTTGCGCCTTCCGCGGTGCTTTAAACCCAACACAACACGTTGTTCGGCCGGCGAGGGCGCCACTTACGCCTACATGTCAGACTATCGTTCTTGTAACACCTTCAATGTATCTGTACTTTCAGCAAATAAAATGCAACAAATTTTCCAGCCACGCCCACGATTTTCAAATGGTCTACCCCTTATATAATTCGCCTTCCATCTAAAAATATTTACAAATTGCACACTTGAACTTGAAACTGAAATGAGACGTTTCTATTGCTCGATTAATAACTTTGGAACGGTTTGGTTTGATTCTACTGCCATTGAAATTTAAAAATATTTATAAAGATGAAGGAATACGCCAAGAGTATATTATACTATCGACGTCTAATGTATTCATAGTTATTGAATAACAAAAATAAGAAACTTAAAATGATTATTACATGAGCAATTTTTTTGTAATATATAATTGTGAATCATAATCCCGTTTGCTGTCGAGTAGATTTTGGACATAATAGTAACTTTCAAATGTAGTGCGCCCTCTACGAAGACTGGCTATTTTTGAATGATAGATTAGAATGAAATACGTCTCTATAACGTTGTTTCGAACATTATTTATGTAAGAATAGATACAACTAACGTACACATAAAATTACAGATGCCTAAAAAATATATACGCAAATAAATAAATATGACTTATTTTGGGCCCTGCACGACCCCCAGGACACACCCTTTTGAAAATAGTATCACCGTAAATGTAAATGGCGTCCATTTTGCTTGAGATGTGATGGCGTCCTTTCGTTAAACGTCGGGCTGTGTTCATCCGTGCTTGCTTACTTATTTAACTACTCGAGACTGCACCCAGTGATGAACGAGGAACGAGGTAAAAGTTCATGCACTTTATAATATCGTCATGTTTACTGTAATCGTATATAAACGCGAAACGTGTGACAACAATGGTTATTGATCACAGATTTGAAACAACAACCAACAGTCAACACCGCGTCCATTTCAAATTGTCCGGCGATGATCTCAGAGTGATCCCAGGCGAACGATCATTCTGACAGTCTGATGCCACAGACTCTAAATTGTATATTTCCTATCACCACTATTTATGCTTTTGTTGGTCATACAGTGTACGAGGCATTGTGCCAGCATCGAATCAACTGACGTTCTGACCCGGCACATCAACAATAATGTATCATTGCCTGCCTGCCACTGCACTGCGCTTTGTTAATGTCACACTTATTCATGATACGGGAGCTGTGTTGTGAAGGACAATGCAAACACCGTCGTTTCACTTCCAATAATAGTTGTATGTGAAAATATGAAGGTGTGTCATTTGCACAGTACTGCCAAACAAGTTGTGTACTCTCGGCGCAACAAAGGTTCCTTCATCTTTATAATCATTTGTACAAATTTCACTGGCAGTTGAATCCACAATCAGCACAGTTCGCAACGATGTTATTTAAAATGTTATTCAATTGACCAATAGAAACCTCTCGTTTCAGTTTAAATTGTGAAATTCATGAATATTCATAAAGATGAAGGGAATGTTTTTGTCTAAATAAGGTATTTTTTGATCAACAATAATGAAGGGCAACAAGGGGTGTGCTGTAGATACCTCCAGACCACTTTATAAAGTAAATGCATGATGATAAATAACCGCTGGTATAAAACTCTGTGATGCGGCACTGTATATGCGACATTTGTGCTGGTAAACATTAATTTTCCCACAAATCAATGCGCTCTTCGAGAGCCGAGAGATTATCAAGCTTCAATTTTGTATTTTTCGAAGGAGTCACCAATGGTAATTAGTGTAAGTGGTGCCCAAAACAACACTTGTATTTGTGATTTTATTAGAAAATTGCATTGAATTGTGGGAAAATCAACGTTTATCAACACACATGCGCTGTGCGACAACCATCGCCCTATAAGTTATGATCAGACTGCGGACAGTAATGTAGAGTCATCACTAAACCTTCCAGTGGAAGCACACAGTGTCACGTCATTTCTCTTGTGGGTGTTGGCTCACTAATGCTACTATTAGTGATCGTGTGTCATCTTCACTGGGTTTCATGAAGGCGTGACTTTTTTTATGGACATTTATGAATATTTATGAACATTTATACAGAAAGGTCCTTCTGCTTCATTCAAATCTAAAGAGGATACTTTGAGTCTTTGCAAGCCCTTCAATCATTGGCCGATTTACTGCCATGAATGCAAAATATAGATCCAATCAAATTTGTTTAAAACACTTGAAACTACTGTGATTGATTCGCTGAAGAAAAGAATTTACAATTGGAACTATATTGTTTGGCATAGAACCTTAAATTGTGAAAGCAAGCCAATGTCAAAGAAGAAGTTGAAACTTATGTGACCACCGTTGATTTATGTACGAATTATATTCATCTGTTAAGGCTCGTAATTGGTTAGATTGTTTATGATTGCTCTCAACACTGACGAATAAATTACTACAAAAATGAAATAGAAATGCAAAGTGTTTGCATGTGTTTATGATTTATAGATGCTCACGAAAATCTTGAAAATAAATATTTAAAGATTCCACAGTAGTCAAACAACTCAAATTAACAGAATGCTATTATTTTTAGACTATGGATTGGAAGGCTGGGATCGATCAGAAACAAACTCAGGAATACCTTATTACATAAAGTAAGTTATGGAAATTATTCTTTTGCATTTAAAATGGTTTAGGTGATGGTCTGTTCACAGTCCCTCTATGATAGAGGGACTGTGGTCTGTTCTATGTAATCGTATATACAATCGTCATATGATTTTACAGGAATTTTTATTGTACACTGTACCAGTGAATGATTGTTTGACAACAGTATTTTGCATATTTTAAAAATTATTAAAATCATCGTTTCATAACCTTATCTTTTGGTATTCTTTGTAATTTTAGTCACTATACAGAGAGGACGCAGTGGGACCATCCAAATTTTGTTAAGTTTATGCAATATTTAGGTGAGTTTTCCGGTTTCTATGCAGTTTATGTGATTTGTGATTCTGTAAACAGCTAAGGAATGATGGTCAAAGATCATGATAACTTCATTTGATTGGTTGATTGAAGATCACATGATTTTGGAGGAATTCCCAGCATGCAGCAGTTAAACAGAGACTTTAGAGTATTTCTGATTAGATTTGATCTTTTAAGCTGGCTCTTTGTATACAAGGTTTGAATAAATTTGCATAGTTAATATTATAAGGTAAATTGACCTCAGAAGGTACAGGGAGGGCTTCATTATTAAAGTACTGTTATCTTGAGAAACAAAAGTATTAGTAATATTGTTGTCATGGATTCACAGGTTATATTTTATCACCTATGCAAACAAACAAGAATAATTCTTGCTTTTAACTTTTGTCTTGTATAATTTGTTCAAGCAGACAATACCACCCGAAAAAAACACACACACACTTGAATGCTAATGAGAATGCGTTTTCATCAAATTTATGGTGAACTCTCTTCTTTTTTAATGTTTTATAATAAGGTCTTTTTTTCTTATACAGACACGTTCAACAACATCCAATATGGAGCTTATCGTGCTGCTGTTAAACTCAGGGCTATGCAAAAGTTTCTTAAATGTAAGTGTTAAGGTGAAATTTTTTTTTTTTGCTTTTTATTATCCAAATAGTCTTGGCTATAGACTGTTGAAATTTTGTAGAATTGTGAATAGTGGAACATACTCAAAAAACGATTTTAAAATATAGATAACAGATGCAAACATTCTCTCTTTTGAATGCTTAGCAAGATTTAGCAAGGCTGTACATAAATAATAAAAAAGAAACATGGTGAAAAAAAGAAATGACGGGAACTCCATATTATGCACTGTATTTAACTTTTAACAAAACAATAATACATTTAAATTTGAAACTGTTACAGCCATTTTAATTATGAGCATTAGCAAACTTCTTACTGAGTGAATTGTTATGCAATTAGCAATTGTCTTAGCTTCTTTTTAGTGCACATCCCAGAACTTTAAAAAAAAATA